AAATTGCCAAGTGTGGCTTGTACCTCACTCCAATATGGTTTGCACACGAGGTAACATGCCTCATTTAATTTTCCCAAAAGTTTGACAGAGAATGGTGAATACATGTTCCAATATGACATCTTGATAATGTTTCTTAGTGGAGATCTCACATTTACTAAAAAGTTAAGGTGATTCCATAATATGTAACTGAGTGCAAATCTCACTTTATAATCCGGTTACATGAAGTTGAGTTAGATTTAAAGTCTATTTCTTAATATTTTCTCCCTGCCTCATTCATCTACCCCACCAAAAGTAAATAAGTAGAAAGAAAAGATTCTTCTGATATTCATGCATGATCATGAGTTTTTTGAAGATGTTCCACTCATTATGTTCCCTATACTTGATTGATATCATGCAATACTTTTCGGACATGGCACTTGCAAATACTAGTGTTGCTAGTACAACGGTTCTGAATTCCATGTCAGGTCTCTTTACCCTTTTCTTTGGAGCCCTTCTTGGCCAGGACTCAGTAAATATGACCAAAATAGAAGCTGTTTTAATCAGCACGCTGGAGTTGCCATGACAACAATTGGAAAAACTTGGGAAACAGATGAGCTTATCAGCATCTCTGAGTAAGTTCAAAGTTGCATTTTAAGATGAAAAAGCCTCTTTCATCCAGTACTTCAACCCTGCAATCCTTTAGTCCACTTCATTAGAGTGCACAAATGCATAATTCCCCAAGGAAAATCAATTTCAGTTTATCTGAGGAGTTTTAGCCTTTAATTTTGTTAATAGGCATAGTGAATAGCACAATACTGCAACTTTTTTATCGGCATTATGCAGTCTCTTTTATTCAGTGATTGAGTAACGCCCCCATCTTTGTTCATCTTAGCTAACATGTTAAAAGATTCAAGTTGTTGCCAGGCTGAGATAATAGGAAAAAAAATAGTTGATATCAGTTTGTCTTAAAAAAATTAACAGTTTTTGTTTAAATGGATGTACCAATTACATGTATATGTTTCTCTTTTTAATAGTTGATGTTAAAATGCATGTTTCCCTTTATATTGTTTCAATTTCTGAAATTGGAATTACCAAGTACTCAAAAGCATACTATCATTGGGGACGTTTCTGGCCTACTCTCAGCAGTATTTTATGGCTTATTCACAGGTATGAATAATCAATTGCAATGGATTCTACCTCATAATGATAATTCATGTTTAAGTTCAACTTTTTACTTAAAGATCATTGTGAATCATTGATCAATTAATTGCAGTGCTTCTCAAGAACTCTGCTGGATCAGGAGACATGGAAAAGCTTATTTAAGAGAACCATTTAGTACAATTTTTACTTAAATTAGAGATTGCTTAGGAGAATCATTAAGTACCAGGTATATTCAAGTGTAAGACTTTAATTAAATACTTAAATTTTATGTGAGATATTATATAGGAGAATGATTTCGTACCATTTTTCAAATGTGATATTAAAATTTGTTTTTTTTTTAATTTTAATACATCATGCTGAAATTAATTCTGTATATCTTATATATCAAAAGGTTCCATAGAATAAAATACATTATTATAATAAAAATTAATTATTGTACTTAAACTTTGCTGGTTATTATTTTTTAACTACAAAGAAAATTAATGATATATGAAAAAAATATATAACTATTGAAACAACAATAAAATCTATTAAAAGCAATGATAAGATTTATTTTTGAATAAAAATGATAAAAAAATTGTTTGTGTGGACTTATTATGAACTTGGGTAAGATAAAATTTGAATTTTGTTATTTTAAGCATTATATTTAAAATTGTAACTCCTTTACGTTCAAATGTGAATAACAACATTTACAATGATATCCGATTTTAATATGTTTCCATGGAAGAACATAAAGTTAAAAATAAAGTTATTAAAAAATATTTCTTCATTATTTAATGTTTTAAATATTATTTTTGTTCTTATTTTCAATTAGGTTTAATCATTCAGCAGGTCTCATTTTTGGGTGGGAATCTCAAATTGATTATCTTCTCTTTTGGTGTTTCAATTGGGTCTTTATTTTGTAAAAAATTGCAACAATTAGACCATCCGTTAAATTGGGTCCAATGGCGTTAATGTATGGTTGACATGACATGTTGATGTGAACTTTTATTTATTTTTATTAAAGATTGAACTGAAACACGTTATCACCCTTGACACATCATCATCTTCCACCTCCAAAAACCCTAACATTTCCCCTAATCCATCGCCGGACCACCAGTCGCAAAGCTGCTGTAAATCACCATAGGGATCTTTCATCACCTCCACCACAGATCAACATAGCTGGACCGCAACACTCGTCTTCTCCACCATCAATAACTAAAATTGTTCATTTCCATTGCAGGGATTTTTCCACAGAGATTTTAAGCAAGAACCTAAATTGCAAGCCCTAATTGCAAGGAACATCATACCATTGCGAGATAGCCATGAATCGCGTCACCTCAACGCCAACCCCAATCCCGCAAAGTTGAAACTGTGACCACCTGGTCTCCATGAACGCGGAACCCTAATCGTGAAACTTAATTTGGGGCTGCGATATGAAAATGTTCACGATTTGGGTTCTTTGGGTGCCAGGGCTTCCGAAGGCTGTTGGTTGTGGTTGCGACTTGGACGAATTGGGTTTGAAGTGGATCTGTTTTTGGGTTTTTCTCTTTCTTTCCTCTCCAGGTTGATGAAGATGGAGAATAAATAGTGGCGTAATGGAGATGAACTGCGCGAGAGTTTTTCTTCTTCATGATTTCTGTGTGTGTGATTTAATTCACGATGGTTGCAAATGGTGAGGATTTTGCAAAGGAAGACGATGGCATTTGCTGAACTCGCAGTGGCTTGCTGGTGGTCGTGGAGATCTGACAAAGATGGTGGTGGGGCGCGGAGGAGATGACGGCAGCGCGGAGGAGATGACGGCAGCGACAATGGTTGCCAAATTCTTTTGTAAAAAGAAAATAAAAAAGACATGTTAGAATATAATGAACTCCACGTCATTTAAAAACCAATATGACAATGTCATGTCAATCTAACAATAACGTGAACTCCACGTCATTTAAAAACCAATATGACAATGCCATGTCAATCTAACAATAACGTCGTTAAGCTCAATTTAACGGTAAATGTGTAATTGTTGCAATTTTCACAAAATAAGGATCTAATTAAGATATCGAAAAAGAAAAGGACCAATTTGAGATTCTCACCCAAATATAAGGACCTCGTGAAGATTAAACCTTTCAATTACTTTATTCAATATGGTCCATAATTTTTTGTGATCAAATCCTTATTTAGGTCAATTTGAGATGCCGAAAAAAAAGGACCAATTTGAGATTCTCACCCCAAATATAAGGACCTCGTGAATGATTAAACTTTTCTATTACTTTATTCAATATGGTCCATAATTTTTTTTTTTATCAATTAGATCCTTATTTAGGTCAATTTAATTTGGTTCGACATTTAAATTGTTAAAGACACAATATACAGATTAGACAATTCTTATGACATGATATTTTTTATTTGAGGCATGTATTGTAACATTTTCTTGTTCTTCGCAAACCTTAGGGTTCCATGAATCCATGACCATTAGAAACGTCATTGTTGTCATCGAAGACATCATTTGTGTCACACCACTACTTGTCGCCATTGCACATTAAAGTAGTGTCTCTTTGCTTCGTGAATTTTTGATTTGTGTTTTCATTGTCATGAATTGCTTTGATAATGGATGGAAATAATGGTAGAGTAAGTCTGTGTTTTCTATTTTTTATTATCTATGGGTAAGTGAAAAATGATGATGAATAAAGAAGAAGAATGAAATCTCTAATGGTTTATTGTGAAAAGTAATGATGGATGAAGAAGAATAAAATCTATAATAGTGAAAAACTACGATGATGATAACTGGTTTATTGTGAAGATAGAAAATGGAATGAATGTTGAAAGTGCATATTGATGAATGAAGCGTGTGTGAGGTAAATGATTATGGATAATGGAGAGGAATTGAGACGTGATGGTTTTTGTGTGTGGGTTTTCTAAGGAAAAAAATGGATTGGATAACTAGTTGACAAAAATAGAAAGAGCTATCTGTATTATGTAGGGTGAGGTTTGTAAGTAGGTTGACACTTTGTGATTGAATGAACAAGAAAAAAAAATTGAGGTTATGGAGTTTTTGTGAGATAAAATAATGTATGGGTGTTTTGGAGGTTGCAATTACATATTTCTGACTTTTCACATGGTGGAGAATCCAATGATGACCAATCTTGAGTGATGGTAACAACGACTCATGAAACCCTAGCATTTGTGAAGAAGAAAAGAATGGTCATGTCACAACCCACATCTCATATATAAAAAATATCAAGTTATAGGTTTGTCGGGCCTGTATATCATTAACAATTTAAATATCATCATAAAAAATATCAAGTTAAACAAAATTTACTAAAATAAAGACTTAAACACAAAACAAAGAAAAATCACAATAAACAAAAGGCACGAAAATATAGATCAAAATAGTATTGAAGCCTTATTTTTTTATTATATTTTTAAAATTTAATAAAAAAAATAATTTAAATAAAAAAAATAAATTTTTTTTACTTTTTTATTATCATAAAGTAAAAATAGACGCACGAAAATGCTTGCATTTTCATTAGTTATTATTTAAGATTTTAATAAAATCTAATTGAATTTGCAGTTCAACATATAACAATGATAATCTAACCAACACTAGTAAGAGATTGAGTTTAGTTTAATTTGACATAATTGCAAAACAAAAGTTAATCCAATCTATTCCACTAATGATTGTTAATCTATCTTAAAGATGTTATACAATATTATAAAATTAGATATATAATTGAATCTAAACCCACAGTCTACTTATGTCTATATTATAACTAGATATTTTTTCACATTACTACTTTTTTTCACATTATACTCTATCTTTAAATTAAATTTTAACGATTTAAAAAGTAACCACCGTGAGTATTGAAAAAAAGTGCTACACTGCAGTTTTCAATTTTTTCTGTTTTCACCTGATGACTACTACGCAAAACCACGTCGTTTTGAGAAAAGCAAAACGAGCGTAGAGAAACTTCTGAAACCTCACACCAGCTTTGCCCTCTCACTCACCCGGCACTGAACGCGATCCAGAGAGAGACACGCCGCTCCTTAACGACGCCGTTTCGTTCGGTGCTGCCGTATTCGCAAGCAGAGAGAATCGATGGAGAAGGGAAAGGGAGTGATGGGATCGGGAGGAAGAAGGTGGGCCGTTGACCTCTCCGACAATTCCACTTCTCGCGATATTCCCGATCCTCCCGGTTTCTCTCGCGCTTCTCTCGACCAGGTTCCTTCCCACGCACGCTTCAACCCTTTCAATTTCTTTCGTCTTTTCGAATTATTTGTTTGTTTAAGTTGAATTTGAAATTCAATCGTGCAGGACGACTCAACGCTTAGTCGCCAGAAGAAGGACGCTGAATCCAATTGGAAAGCCCAGGTTTTTCTTCTTTTTTGTTTTCACTATTGTTGGAGTTATGATAATTGATTTGTTAATTGTGGAAATATTGCTTAATTTTATTTAATATTGGTTTTTTATGATTGTTGTTTTCGTTATGAACAGAAAGCTTGGGAGGTAGCGCAAGCCCCTTTGAAGAATTTACTGATGATGGGGTTCATGATGTGGATGGCTGGTAGCACAGTCCACTTGTTCAGCATTGGGATTACTTTCTCTGCTCTTTGGCAACCCATTAGAGCCTTGCAGAGTGTCGGAAAGAGTATGTTTTCGCCTTCTCGTCTCGTTTTAGTATATATTAGTTCGATTACATGGTTGATCTTAGACGTATTATTCTCCCTTTATATTTTTAATGTCGAATTCGTTGATCTGTGATGTGTAAGTGTGTGTTTATAGATCAATTATTTTGTTAGCGTGGCTGGGTAAACAGCTTAATTAAGTGTTTTTTGGATAAGTGTTTATTATGTTAGCACGTATGGAGTATGTACTAGTTGTTTCCTTTATCAACAAGTAGAGAAGACTAAGTTGTTTTCCTTAAGTTGTAAATTGTTTTTGTAAGTTATCCTCAAGAGCTTTTGAAATCAGCTAAAACTAAATTAAGCACGCATTGTCAGCTATTTTTATAAAGTTTTACAAATATTATATAAGTGCTTATGGCTTAAAGAGAACTCGAATAAGTTGCAAATAAGTTTCTCCAATGCACCCTTAGGTCCTGTTCGGTAGAGAGAAGATAAATTGGGTGAATGAAATAAAAAGAATGAGTGAGAATATGTGAAAAATAAAATAGAAATTAAAGGTAGTTTTTGAAGAGAAATAGAGAAGATACGAGGAGAGGGATGGCTGGAAATAGGTGAAAAATAATATAGTGGGTGGATTCACAAATTTCAAAATTATTGTCCTCTAAATCCCTTAAACCAAACTAGGCATTAATTGAAAGCTTCCTAAGAGAAGTTTGAAAAGAAAAAAATAAATTAAAAGCTTTGAAAACTCAGTATTAATGATTGGTTCTTTCTTCTGCATGTCCCCTTATTTTCAGACTTTGTTTGTTAGTTGTTTCTCTGGTATTTGAGCCTTATGGAAGGAGTGTTTTCTTCTGGAATGGCTAATACTTTTAACTTCCTTGGTCTTATTACATTGACACAAGATGTCCCATTAGTGATGTGTTTTCGGTCTTTAAGGTTTACTAGCTTTTTTATTTGGCTAGAACTTCATGAAACATCTACTGGGGAACTTCTCTTTGGTCTGGGATTGTTAATGCGTTCTATTGGTTTTTGCAGTTTTTGAGCCCTACAAAGACAATAAGGTGGAGCTTCTTGGACCTAAGTTGTTATTTATAGCCCCTTAATTTGGGTGGCTTTGGCACTGGGGTTTGGAAGGTAATATATGTAGTCATTTTTTGCCTCATAGTTGTCGTCTTGATACTTGTATTTCAAAATTTCAAGTAAATGTATGTTCCATTGTTGTTGTCAAACTCTTACACTGTTGTGCGTTTATGATCCCTTGAACAAAAACCAGTTAAATTGCTTGTAAGCTCTTCTGTTTATATCTCATGTTCAGGCAAAATTGTTACAAATTTGGATAACTCTGTTTTACAAGCAAAGTTTTCAAGCCTAGATTTATGTGTGGTTTGGCCTCAAAATGTATACCTTTGGTTGATTTTGTTTGATACTTGGATTAAATTGCTTGTGGCTTTTTGGCATTATAATTTTCAATTGTTTTTCATTATTATGTTATTCTGATTGTAAAAACTAACACAAAATTGTAATGCCCTGAAATATAATATAATATGGGTCAAGTGTTGAGTTATGTTTTTACTTTGTTACTTATGTTTGCTTTTTATGGAGTTCAATTGTTTGATATTGATATGAATATGTTATTGAATTGCGTTTGAGTAATAGAAGCTGTCTTTTATTAACACTTTTGAAGATTGATTTGAGTTTACTTACTAGGATTTCACAAGTTTATCTAGACTCTCAAGTTTGACAACCTTGATTTTATGAATTTTTTTTTAATAATTCTTATGGAATCCTGGTGTGCAGCATCATATGCAATGGGGCTTCTGCCTACACACACATCATACTGGGTCCTCATCCTTGCCACACCCTCTTCAGGTTTTGATTTCTGTTTTTGATTACATCACTTCTTTTTGAGATGATTTGATAATTACAAATAGTAGATAATATATTATTTGATAGGAAATATCATACCAAATATTTCCCATTACTAGATATTGTGTTGCTTATTATTGTATCTCTTCTTCATTATAAATAAGATTACTCATGTGCAGTGTACCCAACACATGAAATGTTTTGTATTCCTTCTCGGTTTTTCTCTTCTCAACATGATATCCGAGTGATACTGTATTCCGTGACCTGTTTTTCCACTAATCCTTTCAAAAACTTACAAATTTGCGTGTTTTGTTCTAGGCTTTGTAATATTTGAGCTCCTCTTCAAACAATAGTTAAAACCTAGACATTATCTTTGCGGGCTCATCGTATTATAAACAAAAATCCTGAGCATGTTCTAGCTCCACTTCTGACTATTCAGTTAGGGAAATAGATTGTTTTAACCACTTTGATGTTTATCTCCCGAGTTTACAGCAACACGCTTTAGATGTCTGAATTTAATTTGATAAAAATCATCTTGTCATCATCTCATGTGAAATTGGCGTCCAATGTTTCTCAAATTATGTGAAAAATAATGAATTTCGGTATTATGAAGATGCTTTTAGTGACAAATTCCATATCACAGAGTTTATACTTCACAACCTGCTTATTCAGTGCCTATGGGATTTTTATTCGATAGCCACATGTGTGTAGCACCTTTTCTTCTTATATTTTCCCATTATAACTCAATAAATCTATCTTTATATTGGAGCACTGCTGCTTACAGCCGTTATTGCTTCTGGTTCTTGATTTTTCCTAACTATAGTCCCTTTCATACTTTTCAATTCTATAAGCTGGAATTACTCTTGACCTAGTATTTTTTCTATACTTTGGTCTCAAATTTAAATTCCTGATCTTCCTATTTTTATGGTTTGAGCAACATTTCTTTCAAAACCATAAAAGAAAAAAAAAGGCAATGATTTATGTTAGGTAGCCGTACACTTGAAATTGCACGCTCATTGGTAATTCAAATCTATTCATTTTTCATTTATTGAACTGAAACTGGTATCAGAGGTGGCAAAAGAATCCTTGTAAGTCATTCTATGGTATTGATGTCATAGTAAATATAGAAGAATGTGTAAAAGAAACATAGTAAGAGTTAGTGCATTGGTGTTAGATTCTAACCAAAACAAAACATATTCTTTAAATTTTCTTTGTAGTGTAAACAAGATACTGTGAAGGTTGATTTTAAAAATAATTCTACAACTGATTTTCACAGAAAAAGAAGAAAACATCTATAATTTGGTGAGTTCTCCTGTTTTTTTTGGTCATTTAAAGATCTGAATGATTGGTTGTCATTTTGCGTAACTTATGAGGCCGTAACTATCGCTTATAGCTTATTGAGTGTCTCCTACTTTTTTTTTTAATTTCAGGAGGTGGAGTTTTTCAGGTGGTGGGTGGTAATTTGGGTTGAGTCCGATTTCTTTTCATGCCCACCTTGTCTTGGAGGCACTTTGAGTAACATTGATACGGATTCAAGGCTTAAAACAGCAAATTCTAATGTTATGATGGACCACTGAGGCATGACTTGTTTCCATTTTAAAATTTGTTAGATAGCAATCTTAAAGTTGAAAGAGTTTGTATAGTAGACCGGGGGTGCTCCAAAATATCAAGAACCGTTCTGTTTATTTAGATTCTAATAATTTGCGCATTATAATTGTCTACACGCTCTTTCCCATCAGGTTGGAATATAACAGAAAAGTGATGTAGAACAATCTCCCTCTATTTACATAAGCATAGTTAAATGATTCTTTATGTCTTATGTTCATTCACTTTCACCACTTGCTATTAATAGGTTGTTGTATTTATCTGTGCTTCCTGCCTTTGCCGCTATATACGATCCTTGGCCTGCTTTATCCTGATTTTTCTAAATTAATGCAGTATGTTTTGTCGGAAATTAGCAAATATACGTTGTCTTTTTAAATTGAAAAGTTTCTCTATAAGACTTCTAAGATAAACACTAAAAATCACAGGACCTTTTGTACTACGATCCACACAAAAATGGTTACTATTGTGTCAGTTCAGTGAGAGATTCATCGAAGTGTCTTTTAATTGCAAGTAACTTCAAGCTCATATTGAAGCAGTATCAAACTAAGCAATGATAGTACCTAAAATGGAGTCATGGGGTCCTAGTGATAGAATTTCGTATTAAAGTACTTTTTTTAATTTTGTTAGAAACAACTTAATGTTTAGAAGGAACGAAAATAAGTTTTCATTTTAAATTGAGCTGATTATAACTTTCATAAAAACGAATTAAATTATTTAAATGGTACTTGATAAGTAAAAATATTACCAAAATAAAACAATATTAAAAATAAATAAAAAAATCCACTATTTTCATCCCCTCCAAATTAAAATTCATCTTTTAAATACAGTCTTTTAAAACATTACAAACGTACCATACTTTATTCGCCCAGTCATTTTCCTTCATATTTAGAATACACCAAAAAAAAAGAAATTGTGTGCCAACTTAATTCCTTGCAAAAAAAATATTAGTTGTACAAAATAGTTTCTGATAATAGATGAACATATTCTCCAAAATGTGTATCATAGATGAACAATTGTGATAATAATAGAACAAGGATTGTTGTTCAAGGGCAATTATTAGTATGAAAAGAAACTGTACTACACAGCATATGCCATAGGAAAAGAACAGTAGACATGTTCTAAGTGAAACCTGAAGAAAAGAAGAGAAGAAATTGGAGTGCTCTCTTACATGTTAGTTGTCTACATGCTTATCAGAAAATGTTCTGGATATTCATTTTTTCATTGGTAATGATTCCAAACTTAAATATAATATAGATTTTCAGAATTATTTTTATTTTATGTCAATATACATATTTAAAGATACTAATAGGTGATTAGTTTAAATTGTACATGCTTAATTCTCCTTAGGCAGCAACTTCAAATGGATGTTTCATACTCAACTATTACTTTTTTACAGCTCATAAAAGATATTTATAGTCTAAACAAAACAACATTTAAATACACATAATTTTATTAAGTCTAGCTAATTAACTGTTGTTTCACATTTTTGTCAGTATGTTGTCGAAAAATTTAAATGGTCAGTGGACCAAAAAATATTTTAAATACAATTCTGTAAAAGCATGCATAAGGGGCATTGGTCAAAAGCTTAGCTCATATTTTGATACGCAATATGGTACACTAATCTCAAAAAGTATTGGATATCTTTGACTATATTGATTTAAAAAAATTATCAATCACAAAGAATCTCGTTTAACAAACACATGGGTTTGAGATTTTGAATTTTTTAATTGAATCTTTAAGTCAGTCCATGTCTAAAATACAATAAATATATGGTGGTAAACTTGTTTTGCCCTTATCGTAGGACAGATATTATTAGTAACTCCACTAGGGTTTTACAATAAGAAATCATACATTATAGAAGGCTGGTCATGGTTTTTTATTTAGCTATATCTGTTGTAAATCTGATTTAGGAAAAGATGGAAAATGATATTACGACACCCCTCCAAAAACAAAAATACCTATTTCTCAATCCACTTTAATAATATAATTGTATGTTAAAATTTTAAGTTAAATATAAAATAAATATAATTAAACTATAATTTTTAGAATTATTAAGTTGGCATTTTTTTGTTTTAGTGAGTGTCAAAATATATAACCACCCTTAAAAAGCATAAAATAAAAGAGAACGTGTTTCCTTAAATAATAATGTGAGTGATTGTTTATAATTTCGTTCAACCATAAGTTTCTTAGGTAATTTATCAAAGAAAAGTGGAATTAATTTTGATATGTTGATATCAAACAGTCACAAAGGAGTAAGTGGTTGAACTATTTGGTTAGTTTGACACCATTCAATTAATTTTTAGGTTTTTTATACTTTAAATTTTAAGATAATATTTAGAGTAAGTTTTTCTTTGTCTTTTTTCTTTACTCGTTCAAGGTTTTGCACTGCAGATGTTTCTTAATTTGTATGATATTTCTTAGGTAAAAATAAATTTCTACTAATTTAGGATAGTAGTGTATCTTTTTTTTAATTTTTTAGGATTTTCTTAAGTTATATTGAGCTTCTAATATTAAACAAGGCTTGTTAGAGTGTAGAAATAACTTGTTAAATTTTTTGTAGAACTTTAAGGTGGAATATCTTAATGTTTGGTTGTGATTTGATCACAATATTTATATTTAATGCAAGGATATTGTATGGTTAAAGATTACTTCATGTTGTGTTGTTGGTGGGTATTAGATTGATTTAAATAGTCAATAAAAATCTTTTATATTTAGTTGAAAAAAATGGATAAAACTATTTTGACTTGTTGTTTTAATTAACATTTGATATTATGAGTTCTTCTATTATGAGAGTTGTTCGGAAGGACCGAAGGATTGATGGATTAAAGATTTATTTAGTATGTTTTATAATTTTGGTTTTGGATCAAGTTTAAAACTTATATATTATGTTTGATTGTAAGAGATAGATTTTATGTTTTAATTTGTAGATATTTTGTTTATTTTTATGTACACAAATTTCTATAAAAATAATAAATGTTTTGAATAAAATAGATTAGGTATATAGTTTTATGAGGTGTTAGAATGGATATGTAAATCTTATGATAACTACTAAATTAAATTAGTATGACTATTACATCTCAACCTCGAGAAGTTATATGATACTAATTCATTCCTTAGTATTTTAATTCATTTCTTCCTTGTCTATTTGTTAATTTTTTTTAATTGAACTTTTCATTTTACTACAATAACATATATTTATGTTGATAAATTGTATTTATTAACAAATAAATATTTGTTGAAAATAAGTTGTTGATAAAGATTGTCGAGAGATATAAATATTTTTTAGTAATTATTGACCGTCTCAAATCGGTCGATAAAATACATGATAGGGTTTCTTCTTTTTCATCCTTTATCTTTTTTGTTTTATTTCTTTTTTTAGATAGGTACCAGACAATCATACCACCACCACCAATACAAGTCATTTTCATCATTTGGGTCTTATTCCTTTTCTGTTTGTCTTCCTCTTCCTTCGTTTCCTTTTTTAACTCAGGTTATCACTATCATCATCATTGACAACTTTCACCAGTTATGATCACCAGTCATCTTAAACATCACTTATGTGTATAACTAGCGAGTCTTCTTATCAATTACTATCTTTCATATCACCTTTCAATTTGTCCAACCACCACAACCTCTCCCTCTTCCTCTTTATCTTTATCTTTTCCTTTTCTTTTTCTTCTATTCTTTTCACTCATCTCTCTAATGTAAATAAAAACTTCAGCAAATTAGACCAGAAAATATTTGTCAATTGTTATAGTAAGTTAGTGACTAAATAAAATCATTAGATAAAATATTGATGAAACTTTTCAATAAATTTTACAAACTTCCTTTTGAAGAAAAATTTAAATATAAAATATATTAGTAACATTTATTGATAAATTAGAATTTATAAACGGATTATACATCATCATTAATATTCTGTCAAAAATAAGTAAAACTCTTCTAATGATTTAATTTTTGGTAATTGATTTTGGTCTGTAATCAATTTGCTTTTTGGCACGTGATAATGATGATTAACAGAAAATAGATTTTTAAGAAGGGGTACACGGTCCTAGGGTAATAAAACAAATTATTTCAATTTTTTTTAAACATTTTATTTTCTTGAAAATTCTAAATTAAGTTGTGAAACTTATTATGGTGTGCGTGTTTCTCTAAACATGGCTCATCCAAACATATATAACTAAAACTTATTATTGGCAAAGAAAAAAGAATGTTATTAAACTGTGAAAACTATATTTGTACAATTGAACTTTGTTATTGGAAAAAATGTTATTTATTAAAAAAAATCAAGAAAGAAAAAAAAGTGAAAAATGACTTAATTTAAATTTTAAAAATAAATTAAAATTTAATTGATATGATAGAGTAAAATAATACTTCTTAATCATAAAATTATAAAATAACTACATTATCTTTATAAAAAAATTTATATTTAATTAAATATTAAAAAATCTTAGATACTCTCATTTACATTCTGTCACGTACCATTTTATAAGAGATTATTTATTTTATACTATTAACGTCCGTAATTTTTGTATAAAAACCTGATAAAAAAAGTAAACCATTTTCATATTTTTAAAATAAAAGGTATAATTTTTAGTATAAGCCTACAAACAATAAAGTTTAGTTTCATTATACGAGTGTTTAAAGAAAAATCTTTTGATAAAAATGCAGAAAAATATGTGATGTTATTTTCTAATGCAGTTTTATATTATTTTGAATTTTTTAGTTGTTAATAAAAGGTTTAAATGTACTGAGAAAAAGTATGGAAAAAAAGAAATGATTTGACATGACCGTTATGGAGGAAAGAAGGTAGGGTTAGGTAGGTCCCCACTGATAAATATAGGGCAGAGCTGATTTGGCCGTACGATTGGAAGACTGTAGAAATTTACTCTCTCCGATCTCACATTCTTACTGTGTCTCTCTGCATTCAATCTTCATCTTCTTATTCCCAAATAAGACATAAACACGTCAATTTCAAACCGTCATTTCATTTATCGTTCTCTGCCACCAAATCTTTCGCACAAAATCACCAAAATCCTTCACTTTGACCACCTTTTGCTTCATCCATCCTACAGAATAAGCAACTCTATCATTTTACTCTGATGCATTCTTTCAGCTAAAAATGAGTGAAGAAGTATCTATGAAGGATAATAATTTTGGATTCGGCTTTCTGTGTGGATAAGAAAGCCAAGACATGAATTT